ATAATTATGATATTATTCCAGTTTTATACCGTTTAATAATCTCTATTATATTGCTCTAATATATATATTTACGTCCTTAACTAGGGTCATAAAATAGAAGCTTCGATCAAGAACGAGTTCATGGATTCTGTTTTACGTGAAATCCGTGAAGGAGATTGGGTGATTATAATTGATTTTGATCTTATTCCGATGATCGGAGGATTTAGAATTGTAAATCATGATTTTATAATCTTCCGGAAGTCTACAACTTATTGTTCCAAGACGTTGTGTAGATCAAAGTCCAGTTTCTTCTCTTTTACGGAATTGGATATTATTAAAAAAGGTGATTTTGATCCAAATATCGATGTTGGTAAGTCATGTAATTTTAGTATTATAGCATTATTTCATACAATTATATTCTTTTTTTCTCTTATAACCATCATCAATTAATTTTTTGCTAACAGATTTAATTGATGGAATCTTTAATGTTGGAGATTTCGTTTATCGGTAAAAACGATCCCGGGAGGATATTCAATTTTGATATGATCGATCATAGGTATTATGTTGTTAGTGATTCTTAAGCCGTGTTATCTTACAAAATACATCTTATAAAATATAATCTTATCTCTAATTTTAAACTATGCAGAGGATGCTCATTGCCATGTCGAGTATCAAAAGAGTATGCTTCTGCTTTTCTTGACAAATTGGATGGCCTAGACATTAGTGGTGTTATTATATGCATTATTCAATTTGCAAGGATTGAACTTAAGCAAGGTACAAATATATAACTGATATGACAAACGGTAGCTCTTTAAAATCATAAGCTCATTATTGTATTCTTTACTTCAGGTAATTGGTATGCCATAGTTGCTCATGGTTCAACAAAAATCTTTATTCAGCCAATGTTACCTAAAGCATTGGCGATGAAAACAACGATCTTAAATGGACCAATCTATTCACCAAGACTGACGTAGTTTTAATCTAAGAACATTAATTTTTCCTATGCGTTCGTGTTTTTATTGGTTATTAAATAAATAAATTACTTAGTTGTCTTTGTCGTGTTTTAGTTTCTTTCGGAATTTGTAAACAACACTCTATAAATATGTTGGTTCCATATGATATATGATGGTTATATTAATCTCTATAAATTTAAATCGGTCTAAGTCATAAGGTAGAACTATATCATGCAATTTTATGGTCTTTTTTAGGCATCGGTATTATCTCGAAAGGATTGGCTAATATGAATATCTAATAACTTTGTATTATCATAAATAACAAAATTATTAAAAATACCACAAAATATGAATATTTAATAATTTTTTATTTTCATATTTAATAATCATTTATCGATTATTTGATTATTATATGTAATTTAAACAATTTATTATATTTTACAAATGTAAGTTTATACTTTACAAATGTAAGATAAATATGAACTTTAATTTACATAAATGGTAGTCTTCTCACTATTTATTATATCATTCTAGATTAATAAATATAAATTTTACTTATTTTAGGTTCTCCGTGGTGAGTATATATAATTGGGATCATACCTTTCTTATACGTAGAGTCTCAAAAATTTGTGTTTCTTGATAGTCTTTAGCAATGGTTTATTCAATACTCTATTACCAATCGTTTTTACTATATCA